TACAAGGTTGAGCCCATTGATGGATATTGGGGTATCACATATCGATTGCAATCTAGTGAGGGCTTTTATAGGGACATGGTACAGGGACACAAATACTGCATTTTTAAGGATTAGTGAAATGGTTCCAACCCTATACGATGTGTGACAGATATTAAGGATAATCGTGATACGTGAGCTTGTAACCGGCATCAGTCCTGAAGACTATGTTGCGTTCGTCAAGGAGTATCTAGGATATTGCCCCAAAGACATCACCCCGATGTGTCTCAAACATACATGGTTGAGCAGTCGATTCGTCCAACTACCAAAAAACCAAATTACAACTCACGCAACACACACGAGCATATCTCCTTTATTTAGTCGGCACAACTATATTTGTCGACTCATCTAAAGGATCTACGCTATCAATATACTTGCAATTGTTTCGAGATGTTGATGAGGCAGGGAAGTATGCATGGGGTGTTGAAGCGCTTCCTTTTTTGTATTGTTCATTGTCTAAGGTCACCAGTGGGGAAAATAATCATTTTAGTGGGTCAGCGACCTTACTACATGTATTTCTCACTCTCGTTATTATTTAATTTTAGAATATTACAATTTCTCACTATCGTTTTCTTCTTACTTTTTACTTCTTCTATAGTGTTGGATCTATGAGCATTTTCGAGCTCTAGCCACCAAGCCTACATTGGTCATAAGCTCAGGAATGCTTAAGGCTTGCATGTAGAAGAAACAAGCACGCCACAAAAACATCTCATTTGATAACATCTCGTTTGATATGGTTAGTTATTGGCTTATGTGCTTATAATCCAATAGATAATCAACTTGTGGTTAGTTATTTCATAACGTTTCATGCTTATTTTTGTAGGTGACTTGACAACCATATGAGGAGTAGCATGAAATTGCAGAGTACTACATCTGTCTATCATACCTCATCAGTTTCAATATTGTAGAGTACTATCTGCCAGATCGCATGATGCAACAATTTGGAAAGCTACAAGGTATTCTTGTTAACCCACCCAAGTGGGATAGGAGAGAGAAAGTCGGTTTGCACCCCACAAATTGGACCGTAGAATTAGGTAGATAGATAAAAGATTGGAAAGCACGATAACATCATGTTGTTAAGGTAGCTGTAGATAAACCTGGTGAAGTACCTACAACAGAGTACATGGTCTGGTACAAACAACATAGTACATGGCCGAGGAATCCAGGCGTTATGTATTGGTGGCTCATGATCTGCGATTAAATAACACTTCTGTAAAGACAGGTGCCGAGGAGACAGCGCGGACTATAGGTGGAGATGTGCGAAGTGAAAGTGAAAAAGAAGAAGACGATGATTATGGAGAAGAAGACGATGATGACGGAGAAGAGGATGATGATAAAGAAGAGAATGATGAGGCAGAACAGGATGATGATGGAGAAGAGGATGATGAGAGAAGAACGAAGAAAAAATCTGATCACTTTCAAGCGCCAACGTTGCAAGAGGAATCGAGGTGAAATTTGCGTTGGAGAAATTGACTTTTTTTTTTTTGTCTTAGATATGTATATTTCAAACAAATGTTAAGTAAAAAATATGGTTGATATTGATCGTCATTCATATGTATTTTTGGACTTGATCTGTATGTTTGAAATAAATGTTTTGTAAATGACATGGTTGGTTATATTTTGATGTTGAGTTTGATATGTATTTTTGGATTTTATATGAATGTTCGAAACATATGTTCAATGAAGGGTATGTTATATAAATGAGAGATCCCTCTTTATCTGTTTTTTCAATTATGAGAAAGTCATCAAGTTGGATATTATATTTTTTTATGCTAATGTAACTTGGTTATCAAATGCGGTTGATTTCATGCAATGCTAATTGTTGCTTTGGTGATAAACTATGAAGCCATCAAAGAGAAGTGTAATTGCTTTAAGGTTAACATTAAAAAACCACCAAAGGCTATATAACACCACTACAAAGAATGTAAAGCCACCACCTAATGCTAACATATAACACCATTAAAGGCTAACATATAACACCATTAAAGATAAACACCTAACTCAGATCTAACATACAACACCACAAAAGGCAAAAAGCCAACAAAAAAAAAAAAAAAAAGGTTTTGAAGCGACAGAAGGCTTCAGCAGTCCACAAGCAAGCTCCGACAGTCCAAAAGAACATTCCGACAGTCCACAAGCACATTCAGACAGTCCACAAGCACGCTCCGGCAGTCCAAAAGAACACTCCAATAGTACAAACTTCTAGCTCGGGCAGTCAAGCTTTGGAGCCACATGGCACTCCGGCAGTCCACATGTTCACTCCAGCTGTCCACCTTTATGCTCCGGTACTACGTCCTTACCGCTCCGGTAGTTAAGCTTCTGGAGCCATAAAGCTTCAGCAGTCAATATGCTCGCTCCGGTGGTCCACCTTCACGCTCCGGCACTACGACCTTCTCGCTCCGGCATTCAAGCTTCTAGAGCCACAGCGCTCTGACAGTCCATACGCTCGCTCCGGCGGTCGACCTTCACGCTTCGACACTACATAATTCACGTTTCAGCAGTCAAGCTTATGGAGCCACATCGTTCCGGCCGTCCACATGTTCGCTCCGGCGTCCACCTTCACGCTCTGGCTCTAGGTTCATTAGAACGAAAAGAGTGTATATTTCAAATTTTGGATCGAGCAAATGGTCATAACATTGTTTTTGAAGGTTGTTGCATAATATTACTATGTAACTGTTCCATGAAATCATTACCCTATATATATATATATGAAAATCTTGAAAATGGACGGTGTAGATAATATGTTGTAAAATGTATTATTTTTAGACTTAAAATCATTTTATTTTTCACGTTCATATATCTCAATGTCGAGATGATCAATCAAAGGGTTTTTCAACATTAAAACTACCTTTTCCAATGGATTTTTGAGGTGCATCTGTAGTTCTACATTATAAGGTTGCATCCTTATATAAACTTTTTCGTTGTTTTTTTGAACAATTTGTTATGATGCATGTCAGACAATTCCGAACCAAATATTCTAAATCCGAACCAATTTGTTACTAGTTTGAGTTTGGGTTTGGGTTTGAATTTTGAAAGTTTGAAGTAATGTCATTTTGCAAAACATAAAAAAAATGAAAAATAAGGACATGAGCGTATATTACATGGGGATAGACTTTAGATTTAGAGAATAATATGAGATTTTAGTGCAACATTTATAATTTATTTATGTATATTTAATTTATTAAAGTCTAAATAACTATCCAATAAATTACCCATAGAAAAGATTTAAGGGCAAAGTTTATATTTCTCCTGCTGTATAAAACTTATATACTTCTCCCTATCCAACCATTCATTCTAAATGGACGGCTGCGATGACCTTAACTACAATGCCACACCTCTACATTATTTTATTTTTAATTTTTTTACAAAAAATTTTGATACCAAATTTTGGGCATCCTCTCCTCTCTTAAACTCGCATAAAAAATATAAAAATAATATTATCAATAAAATAAAATAACCAAAATACCTCTAAAAAATTTAGGGGTATTTTGTTTATTATATTTTATAAAAAATATTTTATTAATTTTTTTTAGATGCGCCCTATTGAGATAATGACACATACCAAATTTCATATTCATATAATTTGTAAAAAAAAACAATTAGAAAAAAATACTCTGAGGCGTCGGGATCTAGAATAAACAGTTAGTGGTTCACTTTATCTAAATTTGATGGTTGGATGGGGGAAGTATATATTTTGTATATAGTTGGGGAAGTATAGAAACATTTATATCCTAGTAACATTTTGATAAAGGAAAAAGTTTATATAGAGTGGGACTCTAAACAATCAAATTAGAGCCCACCTCAAAAATTTGACTAGAAGATGTTGTTTTGATGCCCAAATATTCACAAATTGATCATCTCGACATCGAGATGCATAGACTTGAGAAAAAAATGGATTTAAAGTTTTAGAAATAGTGCATATTGTGACGCATTTTTGGAGTGTCAATTTTCAAGATTTTAAGTTTTCATAGATTTGCTCAATCCATATTATTTTTGAAACGTTAAATTTTATAATTAAATATAGAAATATATTTTAAGGCTATTACAAATATTTCTAATATTGAAACCACATTTCTCGACACTATTTGAAGGTATGCTCTACTTTGATTGTTTAGAGCCTCGGCTCTATACAAACCACATCCTTAGATAATTCCAATTTATTAAAGTTCTCATAAATAATGACGAATATCTAGATAAAATTCTCTACATTTACACCCCAATAGCATCCACCGTCTACCTATTAATCCGCTATTTAAGAATGTTATAGAGTGTGAGAACGCCGCGGAAAGAGAAACGAGGGAAAACGGGAAAGGGCAAATTACGTTTTTAACGGTTTATTTTGTCGTATTAACCAAAAAAAAAGCTAACAAATATGCGTTATTTAAGCTGAGAGACTAACCCCTTTGTGTTTATTTTTTTGTCAGAATTTGCTATGGACTGCTTGTTAATTTTTATTTTTGTAATGTTTTATATTCATAGGCCATTTAATGTCAAAAAGATGGAACGGGACAATTTGTATTGTAGAGCAGATGTTTCATCGGACTGTTTGTATTGGCTTTTTTTCTCCTCTATTGTTTTTTTTATTATTCTTTCTTTTATGCGTCTGCATTTAAATCTTAACACAAGTTGTATGATGTTTGAAACATGAGATGAAAGTAAAATTAAAAAAATAAAAAAATATGAAAGGTCTGTCGTGCATAAATGATATATATTTTGAAGCGTTTTTGTTATAACGATAAAATAAAACGGCCAAGATGTAATTTTCCCAAACGGGAAAGGGACGAGGTGTCGCGGTCGACCCGGTAAAGTATAGAATTAGACGGTCACATTATTCTTGTTCATTGGATGTGAAATTGGATGGCCACAATTATTCCATTGATTAAGCTCAATGAAAAAAAATTTTAACAAATTTTTGGTAGTTTTGTCAAAACTCGGCGAAATCTGTTGAAATTCACCTCCTCAATTTCAGTACATTTCGGCCTCCCAGACCATGTCCTTTTCGAGTCAATTTCCAGCTCCTTGGTTAAAATGCAAAGAAATATTTTCCATTATTAGCATCTTAAAATACAACAAGCCCCTCTCAATTCCTGCAATTCGAAGGTACGCGCTTTCTCTTTTTCATACAATGAAAACACTGATTTTTTGCCAGCTTTTAGTGTTTTTTTTTACTTTTCCTGAATTTGGTCTTGGGTCTGTATTTGAATGCTGTGTCGTTTGATAGCATGCCACTTTTTTCATTTGATAGCTGTAACATGCTAACATTTGTTAAGGATTTTGGGCATACTTATTCTGGTTTTGTGGTTCAATTTTGTCGAGACTGAAACAGTGAGTTAGAGGGGTTTTAGAAGATGTTATCCCCAATAGATGAGATTTTAGTAGAAAAATACATTGGAAATTCATGGAATATTTTACTGAATTTGCTTTTGAATAATTTGTATCCTAAAATTCTTTTTAGAAGGCGTGTAATTCAGAGATTTTGTCTCAAGCTAGACTAACTTTCAAGAATATATGTCAAATTGGTGCTGGTTTTTCCATTTTAAGATTCTTGAATTTTTGTTAGTTTGCAAAAAAAATTATTATTTGACCTTTGAATAACTTGGATAACTCAATCAATCTGGAAGCCAAAATTATATCATCTTTCCTTTAAACTGAAATTATGTAGCATTAATCCTGATTATTTTTTTTCATGTTAAGGGAAAAAATGGGAAGAAAGCTTCAACCTCTCCTGAAAGATAATTGATTTTATCATAATGAGTCTGCTTTAACCTGGGCACCCATAAAAAATGCCCGCAAAAAGAAAAAAAAGGAACTGGAAACTCTATCTAAAATTGATCTAATTATAATCAATCCATAGAGAATATGCAAATTTTTTAAATTTTCATTTATGCCGAAGGAAATGACGGGTTAAAATTTCTCAACTCGTCATTTTTCTTCTGCAATATGTTCTTTCGAACTTTCTACTTTTTGCGGGATGGGGTTCTTGACTCAATGTTCAGAATCACAAACGTTTACACTGCCATACAGTCATTGGACATTATATTGTATAACTCAGTGATCGATGATTTCTAAATCCATCATTTATATATTTTATTCACCTTTTAGTTTTTATTATTTTAATTTTATTTTTAACAACTTATCTATATATTTAGGGCATTTCTTGGCCCCATACAATACTTGGGTAAGGCTGGTGGGACTCGCCTGAGTTACCAGGCTCGGACAAGGCCTGAGTCCCAAGCTCATGCTTAGTTCTTGAACCTTTGTATAAATTAGAACGTTTTAAATTATGGTTAATGAGAAACACCTGATGGCTTTTGATCATACTATTTATGATCAGTGATTTCCATTATGGTTCTTCAATTATAAGAAAGAAACCCAGTCCACTGTGCCCGTTACTAGATCTGATCGAATGAAATGGGAACAAAACCCATATTTTAATAATTTTAAGTAGCTCTGATACCCATATTTTATATATCATGTAATATCCGTTATGGAACTTCAAGGGCAAGACAATTTCCTGTCCATTTTGTCATTTGCTAGTCTGATCAAATGAAATGAGAAGAAATTGTCCAGATTTTAAAACTCTATGTTGCTGTTATGTCCATATTTTAAATGGTTTTCACAGCAGTAAGAAACCAGTGTTGCTAGTTCATGCATGTTTGAATGTAATGATACAATTACATTCTTTTCATTTTCTTCCTACTAGATCTCTTATCTTTAATCTAAACTTTGTGGTTTGCTGAGACAGAAATATTGTATTCATGGATCAATCATTGGCTCAAAGCAGTGGAAAGAAGCACATTCGTATAGATGTGAGCTCTGATACTGTGTGTCCATGGTGCTTTGTGGGGAAGCAGAACCTCAATAAGGCTATGGACTCAACAAAGGATCTCTATAATTTTGAGGTCAGCTCCCGTATGAACAATTTTTAATCTTAATGCAAAAGTATGCCCTAATGCTATGGAGTATGGTATGCAGTAACCAGATGGGGCATCACCAGTGTTTTAAAATGCATCCGCATCAGGTGCAATGCGCCACCCAGCGCATCGCACTTTACCGCATATGTGTTTTGGAGAGATGCACCCGTATCAGAGCTGCATCCCTCCGAATCAGAGCCACATCCCGCATCGACTACATCAGGCCGCATAATCTGTATGCCATTTTTTTCAAAACTTTACCCCTCGAGTAGGGCAATAAGGTCATTTTGAACTTTGAAAATCGGGGGAAAGGGTTTGGGGTATTAAACCACCCAAACAACATGTTACAACCACATTTATGGCTTTTATTGGATCGATTGAATCGAAAAAAATTTTAAGCAGAAATTTTATTTGTTGAAGTTCTTTGATTTGTAATACAAGATACTACAAGCTAAAAGTCCATGAAGATTAAAAGTTACAAATCGATGAACTTTTCCCAATACTTTTCAAATAAAGTTTGTAACTTTAAAGAGTTTCATGGACTAATACAAGGAAGTTACAAATTAATGAGTTTATAAAATTTATTGATCTTCAACATGCTCTGATAAAGTAAAGTTACATTTTTATAAATTTATAAAGTTTATAAAAAGTATATAATTCGAGTCGAAGAACTTCATGGACTCTTTTCAAGATTAAAGAGTTTATAAAATTTGTAACTTTAGAGTTTTTGGTTGCAGATTTGTGCCTATGGTTGTTGATTGTTGCATGTTTTATGAAGTTAGTTTCAAGTTTCTAGTTTCTGTCAAGGGATAATGGATACAGAATCTTCGACAGCTAATACTTGTGGAGTTAATGAATAATCTAAATACCTACTATCACATCTATCACCTCCATATTTTTTTTTTAGATTTTTTAAAATTTTTTATATTTATTGACTGCATCGTCGTGATGCACCTGCATCCGGACCACAACGAGCCGCATCAGACCCCCAACGCTTTTGGTCGCATCCCACATTTTAAAACACTGGGCATCACCATCCATTTGGCAGATAGATGGTGGATTTAACTGTAGTTGGGTGTATAGTTTCAAAAAGCGGTCTGCTTAGCATCTAGGCAGGCTAGGGGGGCTTGGGCACATCGCCCAAGCTTCGGTGGACCAATTAAGTGGGCTGTCCCTAGGCGCCCACCTAAGACTCCACCTAGGCAGGCTGTCCCTGGGTGCCCATCTGGGGCCCTAACTAGGGTGCAAAATACCCATCGTGTGGGGCATTTTTGGTGTTTTCTTGTTTGGATTATAAAAATTAAATGGATATGCATTTTATTGATACATTTTTTATACAAAATCTGGACTTAAAACAGGATCCTAGACACCCCTTGCCCCCCTTTGAACCTAGGCCACCCAGATCCCTAGGTACCGGCCTAGGCCCTAGGCCCCACCCCCTAGGGCCTGCCTGGTATTTTTTGAAACACTGGTTAGGGGAAATCTCCATTGTCTATCATCAGGGGCAAATGGTGGATACCTCTTTTAAGTACCATTACCATACTTCTTTGGATTGTGGTATAGTTATCTTTCTACCTGGCTATTTACAGAGTGCCTTAAGTCACTTTTTTTCTTTTGCAGGTTAGATGGCATCCATTTTTGCTTGAACCTAATGCACCAAAAGAAGGAATTAAAGTGATGGATTTCTATGAAAATAAATTTGGGGCAGAACCGTGGAAACAAATGAGGTCTCGCATGTCAAAGGTAAACCATTGTGGGATACATTTTCACAGAATATTCTTTTAAGAAAATATGCAACAGCACCTAGGAAACCTGCATATAATCTGCTGGTTCCCTTAAGCTCAAAACTATAATAGGTGCCTAAACCGGTGAATTTTCTTTCCCTTTTTTTTTTTTTTTTTTTTTTTTGTT